ATCACTTTTCTTCTTTTATGGCAATATGACATTAAAAATAAATAAAATTAATATCATAAAAGAATCAGATTCTTACATATGTCTGCTCAGCCTGTGGACATATCCAAGCGGGTGGGGCATCTTTTGGAGCATCAGGTCGGCAAGTCGTGTTAGTCAACAAGTATGACTCTAAAGGTGTCAGCCTAACTCCTCCTCTTTTAGCTGCCTATTAAAACATCAATAAAATCAATAACATTTCCATTTTTATGGTAAACAAAAATAATTTATATATGTATATAGATAAGTATATCCTACTAACCAGTCGATCCTCATGGATCCCAATAGAAAGGCATCCAGTTGTGTGGGTCACACGGTCATCCTTTGCTCGGTTTTGCCGACCTCTTTCCTGGAGTGCAATATATTTTGGACTCCTCCATTTTGCCAACAAAATTTTAAAGGTATCCTTATGCATGAACTCGGGCAACTTCTTGTCCTTGACCCACGCCTTTCGAGCTTGATGAAGCTCGTCTCGGAAACGGTTTCGACAATGTAATCTCCAAATTTTATACACAGGAGCATCATCCTCTTCCCAATTATATGTCCTCTGCAATGAAAAAAAAAATTAAATGTTAATAATTTATTTGATTTTTCTTTAAAAAAAAAAAAAGCAAAGTTTTGCTTAAATTGTCATTTTTTTTTCACTATTAATAAATAAAATATAAAAAATCGTATAAAATATACATTGTACTTCCATATCAAATGCCATGAGAGTAAGGTGATAACATCTAAATAAATTCTCAAAAAATACTTCATTTTATTCTATAATTTTCATACCTGAAAATTCTCCCAAGCAACCTTCTTCTTTTCCTCAGGCCAGCTAGACTAGAAAAGCACTGGCTCATCATACAAGTACTTCCAAATTACTGTGGCAGTCCTTCCAAACCTCTCATGGCTGAATGTGCCTCGACGATTAAGTCTAAGCACCTTCCTTTGACTCGAGTCTGCAGGAGCGTCATCTCCTTTATCCATGCCACGTCTTGTCTTTGGGACAGCACGTGATAGCTCCTCCTCCAACTGAGTATCTAACTTAGGATCAAGCACAGCAAACTCAGCATCCAACTCAGCCTCCAAATTACGCTCTTCAGTGTCCTCCTCCATTGTTGCATCATCACCAGTGAACTAGTCATCGGCCAATGGTGGCTGAGTAACAGTGGGTTGCTCCTGTTGCAGCTATGTGGGAAGCTGAGTCAAACTGGAAATCTGTTGCTGTGCGGGAGATTGGCTCAAGCTAGGCAGCTGCTGTTGTGTAGGAACAGCCCTATGAGGCCCCCGAATAAGACAACGAAATAACTTTTGTGGTTCTCTCTCTGGATCAACCTGCTGTCTAGAAGAAGATGCACCTCGTGTACCTCATCTCATATCTGTATACAAAAAATAATGGAAACATATCAACTTCCTTTTCATGAAGAAAAGCAAAATTTTTAAAAAATAAAAAAAAAAACAAAATATAAAAATATTCAATTAATAACTTTTAGATTAGATAAAGATATAACAGTAACCAAACTTATTATATAAGTTCAATAGTTTAATACAATATGAAAAAAAAAATCATGTATTTGATTAAATGAGAATTTAAAAAATGAGAAAAAAATGAAAAATATAAATATCAATA